CTTCCCCGGCCCCTCCCCCCTCCAGCATATTTGGAGGGGGGAGAGGGATTTGGTCTGTGCATGCAGTCCCTATAAGAACAATTAGCGTACCTTGTGGATGAACATGAGAATTAACACGGTGGAACAGTTCATGTGAATCAGGACAAAATCCAACGCATACATCATGTCTGGGTTAGTGTTTCCTTTCGTTGTAACTCTGATATCGACAGAAATAAATGTCAGTATTAAAAAACATGATGTAGAAAAGTAAAAGATCTCTAACAATTGAATGTTTCTAAAAATTCGAAGTCATTTGTTTCTGAAGCAATTCGTCTCCACTTGAGTTTTATTTATCAGTGATATCGTACTTTCTCCTTTTGTATACCTCCGTCAGTTTTCACTATAATTTGACAAATCTTACACTTCTTGACAGTTCGGTTTCCTCAAGTTAAGTTCAATTTTGATGAGGATTTATCAAATGCATATTAACATGATTAACAGCTGCTTTATAACAAATCTACACAACCACAGAAGCAAAACCTCTGTGGAAGTCGAAAAGCCGCCATCTTGGATTCAAATGTCGTAGAAGGGCATGGGAACTCTAACCTGACTACCATGAGGAAACTGGTGACGAACATAGCGTTATAAATGGCCCAACTTATGAACTTGCTCTCATTGTAAGCGGCCGGTGCATTCCGGATTTTATAGCAAAGCCACATTCCCCAAATCAACACCACTATGTCCCCTGAAATAAATGAACGCCATTAATAAAGTTGTACAAAGCTGGGCTCGTCACGCGATCTTACTCACTCACGAAGGAGGAGGAAGATTGCGTGACGAGTCCAAAGTGCGTCTACGTAGGAGGCTACGAAAAACAAGGCTAAGAGGTAAATTTAGTAGATAACAGAAGTGCAGACGTTGCCACGGCAAGGATCAAATGGTTTTGGCGATGTAATTCTATAACAATTTTGGAATTCGATTTGAACCACAGGCGACTTTCGTGTTTACCTGGCTTTATGAAGCAACTGCGTATTTCTCATCACTTCATTGAAATATTACAATAACATTAACGGTGCATTTAGTTTGCGAGCTGAACACAGCATTATTGGGAAAGTTCCATAAACAAGGGCGAAGTTGAAAGTTACATTCACTCGCCGACATATTTTTTTGGGCTCTTACCGAATATAATTGTGAGATCAAACCAATTCTCCACACATCGCTCGTACTTCAGGTCATCGGCTGTCACTGCTGTCTCAATAATGGGTGGCTGCATGACTGTCCAGACAGTCAGATAACTGGAATAGAGTAGCACCAGGAGGCACAGGCGCTTTAGCAACACTCCGTCAGAAAGGGCAAGTTTCTGGGCTGAGCGTACACGAAAAATTAATGCGACCCTGTGGGTGACAAGTGGAAACGTATGCTTAGGTATTCAACCTGGTGTTTGTACTATTTAACTGTCTGTCTGTCTGTCTGTATATCCGTCTGTCTGTCCGGCCGTCTGTCGGTTTGTC